CACACACACAAACACACACACACACACACACACACACACACACACACACACACACACACACACACTCAGGATTCCTCTTTCAGTGGGAAGAGAAGAAACTGACAAAGAGACCATTCACACACACATACACACACACCCAGAGAGACAGGCAGAATGAGAGCAAACACACACACACACACACACACACACTGCAGAATCTCTGAATGATTTGATAAGTTAATAAGCAGCTGAGTATCTTTAGAGCAGTGTGTTTCTCTGTGTGTGTGTTTGCGCATCAGACTGACTGTGACATCACCAGTGCTATATATGACCACACCCCCTTTCCTCAAGGCCCCTCCCCCTCAGCCTCTCTCAGCTCTCGCCCACCCCTCATTCTCTCATTCTGACGCTCTGTCGACTCTGGTGTGTGTTTTTGTGTGACTCTGAGCTGCGCTTAAAGCTATACATTACACACACACACACACACACACCCATGGTGACCTTTGAACTTTGAACCCTTGAGTCAGTCAGCTGGGTGAGTGGATGCAGTTTTTCTGTCATTGCTTTGGAGATGTGTTTGGATCATTTTTAGTTTGTTTTTAAGTGTTTATTTGTGTGTGTGTGTGTTTTAAGAGGGCATGTCTTGTGTGTGTGTGTTTAAACTAAGTTTGACGACACTGAGTTCTAAGTTTGTTTTTAATTTTATGTGTTTTTTTGTGTGTTTTAAGTGTCAATGTTTGTTGTGTGTTTTAAAGTGCTGTGTATGTGTATTACAAGTGTATTAGTGTGTTTTGAGTGTGTTTTGAGTGTGTATTAATGTGTTTTGAGTGTGTATTATTGTGTTTTGAGTGTGTATGAGTGTGTATTAATGTGTTTTGAGTGTGTATGAGTGTGTATTAATGTGTTTTGAGTGTGTATTAATGTGTTTTGAGTGTGTATTAATGTGTTTCGAGTGTGTATGAGTGTGTATTAATGTGTTTTGAGTGTGTATTAATGTGTTTTGAGTGTGTTTGAGTGTGTATTAATGTGTTTTGAGTGTGTATGAGTGTGTATTAATGTGTTTTGAGTGTGTATTAATGTGTTTTGAGTGTGTATTAATGTGTTTCGAGTGTGTATGAGTGTGTATTAATGTGTTTTGAGTGTGTATTAATGTGTTTTGAGTGTGTTTGAGTGTGTATTAATGTGTTTTGAGTGTGTATTAATGTGTTTTGAGTGTGTATTAATGTGTTTTGAGTGTGCATTATTGTGTTTTGAGTGTGTATGAGTGTGTATTAATGTGTTTTGAGTGTGTATGAGTGTGTATTAATGTGTTTCGAGTGTGTATGAGTGTGTATTAATGTGTTTTGAGTGTGCATTATTGTGTTTTGAGTGTGTATGAGTGTGTATTAATGTGTTTTGAGTGTGTATTAATGTGTTTTGAGTGTGTATTATTGTGCTTTGAGTGTGTATGAGTGTGTATTATTGTGTTTTGAGTGTGTATTAATGTGTTTTGAGTGTGTATGAGTGTGCTTTGAGTGTGTATGAGTGTGTATTATTGTGTTTTGAGTGTGTATTAATGTGTTTTGAGTGTGTATGAGTGTGTATTAATGTGCTTTGTTGTGTGTGTGTGTGTGTGTGTGTGTGTGTGTTTTAAAGTGTTAATATGTTATACCAGTGTGTTTTGTGTGTTGTGTGTGTGTGTGTGTGTGTTTGTTTTAAGTGTGCATGACTTAGTTTTTTGTTTTAATTGTTAGTGTGTGTGTGTGTGTGTGTGTGTGTGTGTGCGTGTGTGGTGTGTGTCTGTGTGTTTTAGTGTTATGTTCATGTTTTACAACAGTGTAATGATTTAAAGTGTGTTTTAATGTTCATATTTTAGTTTTCTCTGTGTTGTGCATGTGTTTTAGCTCTCTCTCTCTCTCTCTCTCTCTCTCTCTCTCTCTCTCTGTTTCTCTCTCTCTCTCTCTCTCTCTCTCTGTGTGTGTGTGTGTGTGTGTGTGTGTGTGTGTGTGTGTGTGTGTGTGTGTGTGTGTGTGTGCGCGCGCGTGTGTGCGCGCGTGTGCATGTGCACGTGCTGAAGCCTAAGGAATGCTAAGTCAGACCCACCCAGCAGTATACTGCGAGAGAATGAGCAGGAGATGATGATTGTGTGTCTCTTCACATTCTTTGTGTTACAGCAGTTTTACCTTGCTTAATGGCCAGCTTTGTACCACACACACACTTGCGCACACACACACATGGAAGCTGATTTACTTATGTCCTGATGAATGAGTGTGTGTGTTTGCTCTGCGGTAATGTTATGTTGGTATGTGTGTATTGTTCTGGTGTGTGTGTGTGTGTGTGTAGTGTGGAATTTCTCTCCTGCCTGACACACTTCTCTTTCTGCAGTTTTTCTCTGTCTATGTTTGTGTGTTTAGCTGTATGTTTAAGTGTGTGTGTGTGTGTGTGTGTGTGTTGAGGGTGGGGGGGGTGGTGTCATATGTATGTGCATTTGTATCACAGATGGGGGAACCGAGTCAGATATAGGTCACAAATTTAGGACTTGAGACTTGCTTGACAAATATCCAAAAAAGACTCGACTGTCATGACTTGAGACTTCACTTGGACTTGAGTTTAATGACTCGAAAAAAACTTGTGTTTGTTAAATACACAACCGTTTGTTATGTATTATGCATTTAAAAACAAAACCGAAAGTCACGCATACGCAGTGTTTACTGGATCTGAACTGAATCATTTGGTTCAGAAGAACCACTTTGAATGATTCATTTGAACAGTTCATTTGAATGATTCATTTGCTATTCTGTCATCAGATAATGCGGTGATGAAAAATGGAAGGCGCTCCGCCAAAGATAGCCTATTTTAGCAATAATATCCAGCTGCAGACCCGCAGAACACCACACGTTTCAGGCACACACGATCTAGGCAATCCATATATGGTTACGACGAATGTTAATGTTATTAACGTCTTGTCGGACATCGTCATCACTATAAGTGTATATTGTTGATAAATATCGTACACAATCAACAATAGTGTAGACTATTTCA